TGATTCCAATTCACACTTTACTGCTTTCGCATGTTGAAAAAAAAGCAATTTGTTCCATCATTGTCAATTTATCACCAATAGGTGGTTGCCGTAGCAACCAATTAATTTTCCTGGTCCAAGGCACAATTCAGAAGAATCACCGACCATGTAAATATAATTTCATTTCCCATATTACCGATCACACTAAACAGCTTCCCCCCTGTCATCAGTTACATCATGAGGCCCATGATGTACTTAATGACTGGGACATACATAACTTAGTCTATGCCTTTCATTACTGACAAAAACCTGAAGTCCTGATTAGGGTGGAGCATTTTGACTGTACAGCACATGATATTCGAAGCAGGAATTCAGCTCAAGAAAAGGCAAACATATGAAGATGGCTCCTCCTCTGATAAAGGATTCAGTGACAATGGTGCACGGAAACTCCTCCTTATAGCAGTACTGGAACATACTACTGAAGATTAGGAATCGCTGAAAACTTTCCTAGAGCCACTGAAGCTACCTCCAGCCAAATTCTTACTCTGTGCCAATCTCAAGATCTGTACAGTCAAAATGCTCCACCCTAATCAGGACTTCAGGTTTTTGTCAGCAATGAAAGGCATAGACTAAGTTATGTATGTCCCAGTCATTAATTCCATCGTGGGCCTCGTGATGTAACTGATGACAGGGGGAAAGCTGTTTACTGTGATCAGTAATATGGGAAATGAAATTATATTTACATGGTCCAGTGATTCTTCTGAATTGTACCTTGGACTAGGAAAATTAATTGGTTGCTATGGCAACCACCGATTGGTGATAAATTGACAATGATGGAACAAATTGCTTTTTTTTTCAACATGAGAAAGCAGTAAAGTGTGAATTGGAATCATCTGCCCAATATTTCGACCATCGGTTATGTAATAAAATTTCTAAATATCAAAATTTCAAAAAAGTCACTTTTTCTCAAAAAATTCCCAACGGATTTTTGTCTTTTCTTCACCATGTCAATCTGTTAGGTGAAGGCAACCCATTTTCACTGAAAAATCTCCAGTAGAATTTTTTTGAACTAAAAAGGCCTTAAAACCCACTGTGTACTATTCAGGCATGGCACCTGAAGGATAGATTAAAATGGTGGCTTACAGCAATGGCTAAATCCTGGGCTTCAGTCCCTATGATGTCAGTGATGATGTCAGAGGGGGTCTCACCTGCACTGGCAGAAAGGACTGGCATGGCTTTTTTTCCCCTCGATCACCCAGCACAGGAGTTAACTGGAGAGCAAACCAGACACAGAACAGATGTGAGGAACTGAGCCACTGGTCTTATCTCTCTTACTCATTCATATTCTCACGGGAAAAGCATACAGACACACATTCACAAGTATGCACACACACACACACACACACACACTGAGACTACATGGACGCACCGTATGCGGAAACTGGGCGCAGTTCAGCACCTCCATTTTAGGGGTCTGGTGTGCATGCAGTATGAGTATAATCAGCTAATAAAGCCTTGGCTGAGTATTTTGAATATAGTAATGGTAATTATTATTTATCCGTCCTTTATCTAATCAGGGTCTGGGTGGCAGCGGCTGGAACTGACTCCAGCGTACAGTGGAAGGAAAACACAAGGGAGGCTTTTCCGATTCATCATATAAGATTAGATACAGTTTACTCGCACACTCAAACCAACACAGTTTACTCATACACTCAAGCCAACACAGTTTACTCACACACTCATACCAACACAGCTTACTCACACACTCAAACCAACACAGTTCACTCACACACTCAAACCAACACAGTTTACCCACACACAAACCAACACAGTTCACTCAAACACTCAAACCAACACAACTTACTCACGCACTGAAACCAACACAGTTTAATCACACGCTCAAACCAACACAGTTTACTCACGCACTCAAACCAACACAGTTTACCCACACACTCAAACCAACACAGTTCACTCAAACACTCAAACCAACACAGTTTAATCACTCGCTCGAACCAACACAGTTTACTCGCGCACTCAAACCAACACAGTTTACCCACACAAAAACCAACACAGTTCACTCAAACACTCAAACCAACACAGTTTAATCACACACTCAAACCAACACGGGTCATTCACACACACAAACCAACACAGTTTACTCACACACTCAAACTAACACAGTTTACTCACACATTCAAACCAACACAGTTTACTCACACATTCAAACCAACACAGTTTACTCACACGCTCAAACCAACACAGTTTACTCACACACTCAAAACAACACAGTTTACTCACACACTCAAACCAACACAGTTCACTCACACACTCAAACCAACACAGTTCACACACAATCAAACCAAACCAACATAGTTCACACACAATCAAACCAATACAGTTTACTCACACACTCAAACCAACACAGTTTACTCACACACTCAAACCAACACAGTTCACTCACACACTCAAACCAACACAGTTTACTCACACACTCAAACCAACACAGTTTACACACACTCAAACCAACACAGTTTACTCACACACTCAAACCAACACAGTTTACTCACACACTCAAACCAACACAGTTCACACACAATCAAACCAACACAGTTTACTCACACACTCAAACCAACACAGTTCACTCACACACTCAAACCAACACAGTTTACTCACACACTCAAACCAACACAGTTTACTCACACACTCAAACCAACACAGTTCACACACAATCAAACCAACACAGTTCACTCACACACTCAAACCAACACAGTTCACACACAATCAAACCAACACAGTTTACTCACACACTCAAACCAACACATTTTTCTCACAGGGACAAACCAACACAGTTTACTCTCACACTCAAACCAACACAGTCTGCTGACACGCTCAAACCAACACAGTTTACTCACAGGGTCAAACCAACACAGTTTACTCATGCAGTCTAACACAGTTTACTCACACACTCAAACCAAAACAGTTTTATCCCATACTCAAACCAACACAGTCTACTCTACACTCAAACCAACACAGTTTACTCACACGCTCAATCCAACACCGTTTACTCACACGTTCAAACCAACACAGTTTAATCACACACTCAAACCAACATGGTTCATTCACACACACAAACCAACACAGTTTACTCACACACTCAAACTAACACAGTTTACTCACACATTCAAACCAACACAGTTCACTCACACACTAAAACCAACACAGTTTACTCACACGCTTAAACCAACACAGTTTACTCACACACTCAAACCAACACAGTTTACTCACACACTCATACCAACATAGTTTACTCACATGCTCAAACCAACACAGTTTACTCACACACTCAAACCAATACAGTTTACTCACACACTCAAATCAAAACAGTTTACTCACACGCTCAAACCAACACAGTTCTCTCCTACACTCAAAACAGCACAGTTTAATCACACACATTCAAACCAACAGATAACTTTGGCACCAGTTTTCCTGATATGCATGTCTCTAGACTGTGGGAAGAGACTAGGCAAAAAAAACTACAGTATAAACGACACTATAGGTTTGAAACTACAGTATAAACCACAGAGCTGTAATTTGAACTCAAAGGCTTATCATTAGCTCTCAGATTTGGACAGTACTTCCAGTTGTAATGCAGTTCCGTGGTCAAGGGGTTTCAAGTCCAGCTAAGCAGAGGTGGGTAATCTAAGGTCAGAAAGTTAAAGTCCTGCCATGTTTTACTTCCTCCCATGAGCTCAGCCAGCTAATTTCACCAATCAGTTCCACCTGCTGGCTGAAGGACTGCTCTCATTGGCTAATCTAGGTGGTTGGAACAAAGTACTGTGGAGGACTTTTACTTTCTGACCTTGGATTTCTCACATTGTAAATCCAGATATTGAGGTGAACTCAAATGTTTTATAGAAACACATTACCTCAAAAAATTTTGTAGGAAAATTTAATTGCATTGTGTGGATCTTGATAAGCTACTAATTAGCCAAATCATGTGCACTAAATTAGGTTTGGATTAAAAACCTCCAGGGTAGTAGCTCTACAGAAATCGGGTCTGGGAGGACTGGTGTTGATTATTCAGTAAATAGACCGTTTTGTTTGTAATCAAGCGAATTACTTGGCAACAGTTTGGATGGATTCTGTGTTCATAGCTAAACTGACAGCCTGCACCAAAGCCTTGCTGGACGATATGCAGATTTTTCTGGGATAGATAGCTGATGGTCAATTTTTTTCATCATCATTTGTTCCATTACATTAGCCCAGTAGAGAAATTCACTCCCTCAGGTTATTTTACAAATTGCATCTCGGTAATGCATTGGATTGTTGTTCTTCCACAGTCGGAGGAGAACCTGAGTTCCCAGCTCACAATTACCAGTCAGGTGCATAATATGAGTATAATTGGTCAAAGATGCATGTGTTTAAATGCGTAGTTAAAGTCTGAATTGGAACATAACTGCTCCAAAGTCCAAAGCTCCAAATCTGTCAGTATGTAGATGCTTCCAGGTACATAAATCAATCAGTCCATAACAAGCAAATTTTTGTATAATAAATACCAGTGTTTTTTTGGAAACTGCAGATACAAGTAATTCAAGCTTCAAATACATAATATGTAGAAGTCTCCTTTTTTTCTTTTAAAAATGAAGGACTAATTGGTTGACTATCCCTTATTGCAGCTGTACATGTACAGTTAGGGATCAGCAGTGGGATTAGAGTTTCTTGGGAAAACAGAGATAATGAATAATTAAACAGAAGTCAGGGCCAGCTACCTCTCCCCCCTGATGTAGCCTCTTTTTTACAGTAGAGGCAGAACAGCACAAAAAAAAGAAAAAAGCTAGCCATGAGCTTATCCCTGGTTTCTGCAGCATGAAGCGACTGAAAGTATTGCTATTCCACCTGGATGGGATGCTACTCCATTGCAGGTTTACCCAGCTATTTGCTGGTACCCATTTGTATACCTGAGTGGAGTACTGAGTGGGTACTGTGGGAGTGAAGTGTTTTGCCCAAGAACACACCACAATGGCTGTGGCAAGGATTCAAACCCAGGACCTTTCGATCCCGAGTCAAACATGTTTAACCGCTGCGCCACCGCATCCCCCCATAGACAGAACAGAGTTCCTCTTTATTTTCATTCATGGCTTAATGAGACCTGTCTGCCAGACAGCCGAAAACACAAATCGCAATTCACGGCTAGAGTCAGTGCTCAGTGTTATTTTTTACAACAGTGAGCTGCCATTTGTTGCTTTATTTGAACCAATCAAAACTTCATAGCTGGAAAACAGATGTAAAGCACAATTGTTCTAAGTAAGTCAATAAAAACCAACATAGTCACTCTGTCCAATTCTTTGTTCAACAGAAGACAACATAAAAAAGGACAGTGCGGAGCACATGTAACAGCTGTAGAGACGTAAACCCTGTGATTCACATGTATAAATATGGCACTAACAGACAAGGGAATGGTTGTTTGTTGAGGATGCATCAACTGTTTATATTGATTTATAGGTATACAGATTAAGAGATTGTAGTCTAGTCTCAGAACTGCTTGATGCCTAGTATGCGCATACATTTCCTGAATTATATACTAAAACCTAATATAATTGGGGTAAACCTGTTTATATTTCACTATTTAGTCTCCTTAAGTCTTGCAGGAACTGAATCAATTCATACGTAGCAGAAGAAATAGCTTTGTAATGTCTACAGTGAGGTAAAATAATCCTCCTCAGTATTTTGTTTCAGTCACCAGGATTTCTTAATGAATAAAGTTCAACATCCAGTACTCGTTTTATTGCTTGTTTATTAGCGAAGTCAGTTGGCTTCGTTCATGAGTAAAAAAGAAAAGACATGGCAGGACATGCACTCTCTGATCCCTGGGGTACTCCCACATATAGAAATGACGCATTGAATGGGGTTAAAGCGCAGATTCTCAGCATTTTCTGAAGTTGTTTGAATCCATATTGGGCGATAAACTCAAAAATTACAGCCAGTTTTATACATAGTGACCATCTGATTGCTTACAGACTGGGCCCTATCTCAAAGTTGGTCACGTGTGTAGAGCAATAGAAAGTGTAAACCATTGTAAACAGTGTAAAACACTGGTTTACGCTCAGACGCAATGCGTGAGCTAAAAGATTAAACGGTTGAAGACAGGTTTTGGCCCGGGATATTGTTATTATTGGCACGCATGGATTCTGCGATATCTAAGCACCGTGGGAGTTAGTGTCTGAAGCCTCAAAGCAATTAAAGGATAAGAAAAACTACTGGAAAACAAAGTGCATAATCTCTGAAATCAAAAATGATAGGCCATTAGTTTTAAAAAGTTTTTTGCACTGTGCAAACTGTGTGTAAATGCTGGGTATAAGATAGCAGGAGGAAGCTGACATGTTTGTTTCGCTGGAAGAAGATGCCTACATCACCCAGGCTGGAAGCTCTTTTGAAATAAAGGGAAAAATGGTGAGGTTAATAAGTGTTTCATTTCACCTGTTTCATTAGGACACCAAACAGCAGTGCACTGTGGCATTGTCAAGGGTTACATACAGATTTCCGGCAAACAATTGGTCATAATTCAAACAACTGGTGTCCTTCAAATCACTCTTCATCATCAACGCTACTTTCAATGCTTATACTGTGACTCTGTACACTCGAACGACATGTCCAGCCCTCATGATGTCATGCACTGGTCTGGGCAGTGTTTGATTGATTTCCCATTGTTTGACTGGTCAATTATTTTCTATGGCGGCAATAGCAGATTCTGAAGTTTCCAGGGTTATGCGATGTTTGAACGAGGACAACACGGTGTTAAAAAAAGGCATATCATTTTGGACAGCAGAAGTTATGTACTTTATTTGACAATATAACTGAACCATTAGGTTTTTTTAATTCTTTAAATTAAAGCCATCCTCCATGCCATAGGGAATAAACATGCTCGTATACTCTGAGTATAAAGAAATTAAAGGCTTCTACCTTCATCTTCATCATCATCATCATTATCTGCGTCATCAAAACATTCATCACTGTCGTCACTGTCATTACTGTTCTCATCACCACAATTATAATCATCCATGGAAACAGAAGCAGGGGATATTATATTTTAGTGTAGCACCTGGTTACAAACCCCAATCCCCTGATCACCTATAAACTGTCCTTCTAATTCACAAATTGAAGGTTCTATTCCCAGCAAAAGCAGATGAAATGTGTCTTTCCGAAAGACTTAAGCCATAATTGCTTTAGTATCTAGGGAAAACAAAGTTAGCTCTGCTAAATGTAAAATTATATGGGCTGAGACTCGCCCAGAGCAATGTTGCTAAGATTGAGTGCTGATACCATCAGTATACTGCTACTGTACCACCATATACAGTACACACAGAATTACCACAATAGCTATCTCATAAATATAATCTCTAATATGCAGAATGCAATGAAGGTTAGTATCTATGGCCATTTTAGTCAGAAACAACCTTTTAAATCCATGGTATAATCCTCTTTGATTCAACTACAGACTATAAAATATATTATTCATGTTTGGAATGATGTTGGAAAGAACATTGAGGAGGACTTTTAATCGCTCATCAGGGTGAGATAGCCGTGCTCCAGAGGTCATATTTATACACAATGCATATGTACAAAAAAGATGTTGACTGAAAAACAGGCTTGAGATGGTTCATTTCATGTTTATTATGAAGTAAACATTGCATGCAGTTTGGCATAGTGACAGTTGTATAAATTAGGATATTTTTGACCATATGCCACATGTCTGCACAAATTTTGGCATCAAATCTATATGTTTTTTCATGAAAGAAACCCCAGGTGAGTGCGGCTCAGCCCTAGCCCTAGGAAAGAGTGGTCACTAGAAAGGTCATATTTTGACGGCAGAAGGTCAATATGAGGAGCTGGATGCCAAACATGGCTTCTTTTGAAATCTCCCTCGCCAAAGTCAATGTTCCGAAACTCCACTGCTTTTAATTACATTGCTTTTTTTGAGCATTCCTCAACTTTCCCAGTCTTTTGTTGCCCCTGTCCCAGCTTTTTTGGAACGTGTTGCAGGCATCAAATTCAAAATGAGTGAATATTTCCAAATAAACAATAAAGTTTATCAGTTTGAACATTTAATATCTTGTCTTTATAGTGTCCTCAGTTGAATACAGGTTGAAAAGAATTAGCAAATCATTGTATTCCATTTTTACTCACATTTTACACAACATCCCAACTTCATTGGAATTGGGGTTTGAATGCCGAGTGATTGTAACACAAATGCTCGAACGTCCACTTAAGAACATTCTAAAGGCATTTGTGACCCCACGCTTTACGGGGTTAAAATCAGCAGAGGATTAAATTCAAACGGGGCAGCAGGAAGGGGGCATTGCCCCGCTCGCTTCTCACTATCCAGACCTGAGGGACTGCCTGCTCCCAGCCTGTCCTGACCCTGTCAGTGTGGGTCAGCCATATTCATAATAAAACACCATGAACACTCGTCCCATTTTTCCGCAGCATTGTTTTTATCAGATGTATGCATTTTCATTGGTTCCCGTAATGGGCTGTAAGTACAGATAAGTATTATGCGTTGTGCAGTGCAGTAGTGTCCAAACCACTCTGCTTATTGAATCTCTGCTGGAGGCGGATGGCATCACCGGGATTTAAGGGAGTTATTCCATGTACATATGCGGTTATATATCTGCTGGTTTGGTTTTCAAAACTCGTCCTTGGATTTTAGATGGCAGCTGAGTCTGATAGCAACTTGACCCATTTCAGTTCTTCCATGTTTCTTCTTTTTTCTCAATACAGGTTGTCGAACACGTGTTTACATTTCACGTTTTGTACTTGAACAGGTGAATGCAATCATCATGATCTTTGTCTTGAACTCTTTAAAGAATGTGCTAACATGATGAATAATGCTTCAAAACATGAAAAGTATGAATGGGAAAACTAAACAAATAATAAAAAATAAAAACCTCTCTACTTTTCAGGCCATTGCAGTAAACAACAAGATTGATTTTATGGATTGAATTCATTGCGGTCAATACATTAATTGGCAAAGTAGACATGCAGATATGTAAGCCTGTTTTAATATGAAAAATCTTCAAAGACTGAAAAACTCCCTCATCCAAACACAACACACGTGAAGAACAGTTGTGAGTTAATTTTCTTCCATTGATCTGATAACCAACCCTGTTGCAGTAGATCCACTAACAAGTAGGTTTTCACTCCAACCCTAACAATGGGCCACCAATTTCTGCATCTTGCAGAGCTGTCAAGTAATAACTGTGCAGCATGAAAACATACAGGACTGTTGATCTCCAGGAGCAGGGTTGGTTACCACTGGGCTGCAAGTAAGTGAAACCTTAACCCCGAGCAGATCATCGAAGCAGATAGTAACTTGAGATGCATGTTCACCGATGCGTGCTCTGATGGATTGGAATGACCTCTCGTTCGCAGGTTAGCTGGAGATGAATGGTTTTTGGTGCGCTAATGCTCCTAAAGGCTTAAGGGTCACAGCCCCCTTATGGTGCACACGAATGACAGCTTTGAGCTTGGCCAACATCACATGACTGAAGTGGACCTAATCCCTGATGCCGGTCAGTCCTGCTAAGTCTGTAATTAAGATCTCCATCGCTGACAAGACCACAGAACATACAGTATGGAGCATGCATCTGGGAACTGGAACCTAGTCTTTCTGTGTCCCAAGATGGGGCACATATACGCACATTAGCAGATCCTTAAGGGTAAAGATTCTCCCTCTCTTGGTATGGGCTTACGACACCACAAATAGAAAACATTGGACCAATGGCATCTGCCTCGAGTCACTCAACCACATCCTGAATCACATAAATACTGTACCTCTACCAGGTAAAAACCAAAACATATGTCAGATTCAATTAGCATTTTAGTCATATATTTAGACCTCTTGTTTCCAATATTTGGAGCTAAATACAACAAAACGTTTTCAATATAGAATATAGAGAATATTTTCATTGTCTCTACAAGAGCTTAAATGGAGCCCACACTCAAATAATTTCTTCTGAATTGTTCACCATGGGGGATGGTATTTATTCACCATCGCTGTTACTAACACAGTGGCCGCCACATGCACTGTGGGGGACT